AAGGAAAAAATCTTTTGGCTTTCAGTTCTCAATCTCCATACAAAAAATTAAAGTAAACTTCCAAATGTACAAACAAAACAATTAAGTTCAAAATAAACGTTTCACAAAGATGTATAGATCATGCAGATAAGTTACATTCAAAGATTTCCTTCTGCTTTTGTATAACTTGTCATGATAAATACAATTAGTCCTCGTGAATTTATATGTTGTGCTTTGGAATATACAAAGAGAATGGAAATTTGCTATAATTTTTCTTTGATTTCTACTGATATATTGAAAATTGCTGAAAATTGTTGCGTAACCTTCAAAAATTTCCGACTTACTTGACCGTTTCGGAGAAACTGACGAAAATATTGGTCTTTCAATTTTCGAGAATCCATAAATTTTTCCCGATTTTAGATGATTTCAGGTTAAACTTAAAAGCCATCTGAATCTCGTATCCATGTTTCGTGTGAAATGATCCATTTGGAAGGTTCTTTGGTTTCAGGAAATCATTTATTTTTGGAGAAAAAATTTTGATAAACAGGTCTAGGCAAGGTTCATATCTGACCTAAATTTCATCCTGATGCTTCCTTTTGTTCGACAGAAATTTTGAAGACGACTAACAAAAGGACAGATTAGTAATTTTGATTATTAATATTTACAAATTTTTCGCAAAATGATATAATATTTATATAAATTGAAAGGGGTATATTTTTGGGAGAGAATACTTTTTGGGTTTTCCACTTCTTCATCTCTATACCAAATATGTGGAAAACGTCCGAAAGAAAGAAGAGAGCAATCAAGTTCAAAAGAATTCGGGCTGCACGCCAGTGATCAAATCATAACCTACACCAACTAGTAGCACGGTGGCATTTTGCAAATAAACCAAAAAGGATATTGAGTCTGGTCAGTAATATTGAGAGAACATTATGGCCCGGCGCAGATCGTAAACTCGTTAAAACGTCGATGAATTCATTTTATAGCGATTCTATTTTATTTAGAATTGGCAGTCGAAATGACGGCGAGTGTTTTTATTTTTGCAAAGGTCAAGTTTTCTCATTGAAACAATAAAACGACTATCGAGAGCTTGGAATGAATGCTAACTTTTCAGTTCACTAAAAAAATTACTACAATATAGCACAGAAGCGCACCTAAAATAGTCAAGAATAATAATGTTTAATGAAATGTAGCTTGGAAAATTTTTGAAAGTAAACAGTGATGGAGAGCTGAATAACCCAAGTAAATGAAACCATTCCGAATAGTTGACAAGTTTTTATATCAGTGATG